TTGCAACATGGCGTATTAATTCGGAACCCAGGTCTTGCAACTCACCCTCAATGCTGGCAAACGCACCATAGATCTCGATCTGACCAAGGAGGAGGACAAGTCACGCCTGCGGGGACTCATCGAGGGCGCAGATGTCTTTGTCCAGGGCTTCCGCCCCAACGCAATCGCCAGAAAGGGATTTGGTGTCAATGATCTTCTCGAGATGGCCGGTAACCGTGGCAAGGGCATCGTCTATGTTGAGGAGAACTGCTACGGCCCCGACGGCCCCTACCACGAGAGACCCGGCTGGCAGCAAATCGGAGATGCGGCGTCTGGTTCGTCGTACGTGATGGGTCGGTCCTTGGGCTTCAAGGATGGGACAAGCGTCCTACCCCCACTGCCCATCTCTGATATGACAACCGGGCTTGTGGGAGCGTTGGGCGCACTTATGGCTCTCCGGGATCGCTCCCGACACGGCGGTTCGTACCGCGTGACGAGCTCGTTGGTCAAGGCTGATACAATTAATCTCGAGCCTGAGATCGGGCTCTACTCGCCCGAGGTTGTTGAAAGATGCAGCCAGTTGTTCAAGTGGGGACACATCGGGCCGTCGCAGTTTGTAACAGAAATCTTGCTGGTTGTCATGGATGGGTGGAAGAGTGTCTTCCCTCAATACTTCAAGGCTGGTCCTGAATCGCTGCTCTCCAGCTTTGGGGAAGGACCCTGGGGTGAGATGGAACTCTTGAAGCCCGTGGTTCAGTTGAGTGACCCCAGTGTAACGCCTCGTTGGCTGACACCGGCTGTGCCTAATTGCTACCATGATCGTAACATCAATTGGCTGTGAATCTTAGATCCTGATGCACCCATAATTTGGAGCTTCAAACCCATCTTTGACACATGCAATCGCAGGGTAATCGCGGCGCGTTGCATCCATTCTTTTTGCAATATACTAGCGTTAATTTCCTTTCTGTATCACAGACCATTTTGGTTTTGTCTTTATCCAAAGAATGTAAAGCGAACCTCTTCTTCGCCACTCCGCGGGGGCTTTTTCGAGATTTGTAAACTGTTGCCAGTAGGTAGCCGATCGGCACCGTACACTGTTGACGCACAAAGGAGATGACACGTCCTTAAGGATCAATGCCTAGGCCTACAGGCTCCAACTTTGAGTGAGCGGTGTGTCGTCGCCGAGCTGCGCGAAGAACATGGGCCAATTGTTCCAATCGAAGGTATAGTTCTCCACTATTCCCAAATCATCTCCTATGATTGGTGGACACTCTTGAGCACACATGACGAAGTCCTGCATGGATGTGTTCTCATGAGCTCTGTCAATTGGTAACGCTTCAGAGGGCCCAATATTCGTTATTGATTCCCGCCTACCAATGCTCTTATCAATCAGATTTAATGCAGAACGGCATCTCGATGCCAGCGTGGTGTGTTTCTCGTAATCCTTGAGAATGTTTCGAGCATGTTGCAGAATGTCCTGCAAGCTAGCCGCAGAAAAGTACTCGACAAGCTGCGGGGATGACTGGGCGGCAAGCAAGTTTGTTACAGCCATATAGACGTCTTCCTGGGTTAGCTGGTAAATTTTGCTTCCTTAGGGGAAAGTGCAACGTACATGAGACAGTATACCAATTGGATGGTAAGATATACGCTTGTTTCTGCCCGGGGGAGTTTCGAAGGATGAATTCAATCATGTCGACGGCCGCCTTTGTGCAGTTCACCTGGCATTGGAAAACCACGTGGGGCATAATCTGGTCATCGTCTGCATAGAGACCGGTACTGGGGGCACTTTCTGCCTTCTGTTGATGGATCTGTAGAAGCAATATCCTGAACAGCAGAAGCCGGACTGAAAGATACCTTCATGTACAAGAGACGTCAGTGGTCATGTTTATGACATGTTTGTCAAGGTCGGAGTAACAGACCTGGCTCGTAGGATATTTGCTTCACGAGTGATGTGCTTGGTTGGCGTTGGATCTTCCAGTTCCGACGGCATCTGGAAGAAGGGGTGCAGGCCGTGAGCCCAGTGTTTCAGAGCAGAATCGATGCGAAATAGGCTCGCGAATTTATCGAAAAGCACAGCGCGGCTCCCCTCACGGTCGTTGCGATTTTCGGAAACATGATGTCGCACCGTGCTATCATCGATGGAGTAAAATGTCTCCAGTACTTCTGCTATGATGTGATGTAGTCGGCAAAATGACATGTAGAAGTTTAGTTTCGATGGTAGACTGGCGGTTACAGTATCACTCCCGGATTCCTGGAAACTGAGCACTAGCGCGTTCAGCCCTTCTTGTGCGACAGATCGAGGAACCTTAAGGGGGCAGCCGAAAGTCATGGCACAGATTCTAAAATCGCTTCAGCGTATACACTGAAGATTCCAGCTCCGGTATCATACCTGTCCATAATAACGCATCCATTCCAGACTTGGCACGCTAGGTCTCGGTCTTTTGGGTTGTCCATCCCCTCCGTTGTTTCGGGGATATGTAATCCGAGTTCCTGGGCGACATGAATTGCAGTGCCAATAATCCGAAAGCACTTCTGGGGCTCTTTCTCATGCTGAAGATAAACAGCGGTGAGTAACAGTATCTGGATAATCTCGATGTTGTACATGTCCATCAGGTTGTACGACATCAGCGCCTGAGCTCGGTCGAAGAACACAACCGAGGACTGGTAGCGGTCGAGCGGGGTTGCCCCTTGAGATGCGACACAAGATGTGGCGAACATGAGATTCAGAAGGCAATGTAAGACGGTCTCATCCATTATCAGTTCACCGTCATGAACCCATAGGGTCTCGTATGCGTTCTCAATTGAAGGTCGGTCTAGCCAGGGGTAGGCGCTGTCCACGTAGTCCCAATAGAGGCTCAGAAGCTTGTCTGCCTGCTTCCTTGGAGGAACCGCAAATTGCACATCGGCGTTTGCTTTCTGGGTGCGTTTTTGCAACTTCGGCAGACATCTCAGTGCCTTTGGTAGAACTGGGGTCCGGATTTGTCTTTGGTTGGTAGGGGTACTTGCTGCGCCCTGCTGACTTCCGACATCTTGAAAAAAGTGTGCACCACTGGATGCACCAAATAAGCCGCCGGTCGGGACAGCTTCACTGAAGCTACTTGCAGCATCGTCATTATCATTGGCTTGTGCTTGTGGGTAGTCTTCCGGTAGTTGCTCAGTTGTGCGGCTGGACTGCTCACTGATATCACCCTCACGGTATTCACAGGCTGTGGTATACGAGGTTCGTTTCCGTCTCAAGCAGGGACCGCAGACTAATGCACGATGAGCCTAATTTAGTTCTCCACCACGTGTGACAAGCAATGTTATTGGCCTCTCTTACTTGGTCTAGCTCCGTCGCACTTGGTTTTCCTGGCCTTGCATACATTGCAGGCAATTCTGATCTTGGCCCGTTTCGGCTTGGGTTCTCTCAAGGCCTCGCCATGTGGAGAAGAGTGGCCGGCATGGAATGAGAACATCATCATGCGAAGAGTAAAACAACATTCTTGGAAAAGGACGAGATTCCGAAATTTCATCCGAAGTTCTCGTATCCATCCCGTGCGATTATGTCATCCGCTTCCGTTCCCGATTTGGTAATCCGAGGTCTAGCGGATCCTCGGCATCGATTATGAACCGGTTACCAGAAGCCCGAGGAATTAAAACTTGGAAGAATCGGTAAGCCGGTGGAGCACGATTCTGAATGGTAGATACTTAATCGCTCAATATGTATTAGTACGGAAGTTGAAGTGGCCGTTGAACAACGCGGGTCCCGAGCTTTCCGGCTACAGCTCATGATTTATATATCCTAGCAACTGAACATCTTCATTTGGCTCTCACTATCACTTCTCAATTCGAACTTTTAACATCACCACCACCCACGCTACTAAAACTCAACATACATAGTATCATCACGATGGCACCTCGACCTGACCCTCCCGCAACGGGACGTGTTTATTTCCTCGATGTTGGAATCTCAGAGTCCGAGCCCAATGGACGTCTTCTAACCTGCAAGCCCGATGGCTCGGAGTTCCGCGAGCTGATCACACAACTCAACACCATGCCCGACGGTATTGCCATCGACTCTGCCCGCCAGTATATCTATTGGAGCAATATGGGAATTCCTTCCGCCGATGACGGGTCCATTCAGCGCTGTGATCTTTCAGGGAACAACATAGTCACAATCATCCCGAAGGGATACACCCACACTCCGAAGCAATTGATCATTGCTCCGCGATCCCAGAAGCTGTACTGGTCTGATCGCGAGGGCCGGAGAGTGATGCGAGCGAACCTAGATGGAAGCGAGGTTGAGGTACTATACAAGGCCACTTCAAGCGAAGGCACGGACACTCCGGCTGTGCTCGACTGGTGTGTGGGCATTGCAGTTGACGAGGAGGCACAGTTGGTATATTGGACACAGAAGGGTCCGTCAAAGGGCAACCTTGGCCGGATTTATCGGATGGGGGTTGAGATGAGACAGGGAGAGTCAGCGGAGTCGCGGACGGATGTTGAATGTCTTATTAGTGGTCTTCCCGAACCCATTGATTTGGAATTGGATCACACTTCGAGGACGCTGTACTGGACGGATCGTGGAGATCCACCTCGTGGAAATACAGTGAATTCGGTGGATCTTTGCATTTCGCCTGTGAATAAGCTGGAACCAAAGATTCTGGTGCGCAAGCTTCATGAGGGAATTGGAATTGCCCTGGATACCAAGAATAAGCGTATGTTCTTTGGGGACTTGGGCGGCTCGTTGTACACTGCCGATTTGGATGGGTCGTGCAAGAACACCATTGTGGCTGATGTTGGGGGTGCGATCACTGGGGTGGCGTATGTTGGGGAATAGAGTATCATATAATTTAGATAGAAAGCGTTGTATATAGTATAGATATGGCTGTTTTATCACCCTCCTCTATGTTAGCTGCCTACGTGCTGCAGCTTCATTTATAAACATACATCATTTAGCATATATTGTTGCATCTAATAAACTATAGTATTGCACATGCTTTCCAGCTGTATATTTCTTGACTTGACCAATAGACCCTTCATCAGTACGAATATTTAAAGTGAACATTCTCTCTATCTGTCTGGTCGACGTCGGAATCCGTCCGGCCACTTGTGATTGTAACCCCATCCTTCGTGCGATTCAAATATGCCGCATAGAGTGCGAAACCGAGCAAGAGAAAAATCTCAACACAATATGCGACCAGCATGGCAATGATCCCGGATGTATATCGGGGTGCTTAATCGGACTTGAAGGCAAACGGCCCAACGATATTTCCAACACAGTACGAAATGAAAAATATAGCATTCGTAACCGATCGCTTGGTGGTCCCTCCTGTATTTGCTGTGATGAGAGACATGATCATTGCGAATGATGCGGTATAAGTACTCGTATGCTAAGATAGAATTAGCCCCCATCATAAATCTGCTGTTTCTGGACGTGTTATACCCAGTAGCAAACAAGTAGAGCTATTTTGTGGTCTCTCGATATAGTATGGATCCCAACTGCCCCCGCCAGAGCGGGACACACATATATAGCACCGACGATACACCTCTTCTGCCCTGGAAGCCATCGCTGGATATACATGGCAGACACGTTGGACACCAATATTACCATGCCGTACGGAATCTGGAACAGTGTCGTGACAAAATTCGAATATCCGAACCCCTCGATGATGAGACTCCCAAAGTTACTCGCCGCCCCGTTGACGACTTGCGTGCAGACGCCACAGAGGAAGAAGAACCACGTTTTGGGATCCGCCAGGGCTTCCCACATCTGGTACATTTTGATTTCGGACACCCTGGTGCCGGAATGTCTGGGGCCGAGACGGTGGACGGCGACGTATTTTTCTTGTGCGTTGAGCCAGCGACTGTGCCATTAGCAGCGGTATACCTAAACAGAAGGAGAGACAATTTACGCAGTAGACGGCCCATCCGCAAGAGTAAAGAACATAAATATTCCCCACACAGAAGATATAGCACCAATGATAATGAATTGGTACTGCCAGGACACCAGATTGCCTTGGATATGGCCGATAGCAAATGCCAACAGCCCTCCAAACGCATTTGCAATACCAAGAAAGGTGGACCACCATCCTATTCTAATCGGCTGTTCCTCAATAGTATACCATGTTGCTGTGATGAGAAGATAGGCTGGTGTGGAGCATGACTCGAGAGCACCCAGGACAAATCTCAGACCGAGAAATGGTTGAAAATGCGTACATGCCGCCAGAGCCATAGTCACTCCGCCCCAGATGAAGATATTGACAGACAGCCATTTGGCCACGGAGAGTTTCTGCATGGCAAAAACAGAAGGGTATTCAAACTGCCCATGTCAGTAAAGTATAACGTCTACAGGTTGGGCCGATAGCAATACGGCGAGATACCCACAGTAGAACATGCTCCCTGTCAGAGTTAGTATGTTATCGTATGGAAGTCGGCTGCCCATACCCAACCTACTATACTCAGTCCCTTTTAGATGTAAATCTCCTTCCAGCCCAAAAACAGCGGCATAGCCCATCATGACTTTATCGATGTAGGTAATAAGATATGTGATGCAGATGAACGGAATCACCACCAAATCGACTTTCCTGATTACCCGACGTAGGAGAATTGGGTCGAACTGTGCTGGCCATTGTGTTTCGTCTAACTTTTGATCCTGCTCCACTGACTCGAGATGATCTGTAGTTGTTTTGGGATCATTCATATTTCGTGTCAATTATGCTAGATATCAGAGATGAACGGTTGAGCGGATGCTCTTAGATTATCGTCCCCGTGTACATGGGTTGTTTTATATAAGCATTCCGATTAAACATTCCTTCCAGTTAACAGGCCAGAGAGAGAAAATGCAGTTGAGAAACACCCCGCATCAGTGACCATCTTCTACTCACCGCTGGCCAATTGCTCTGCCAATTCCTAGTACAGTAGCCCGGGGCCCCGGAATATCAATTGTGGGGACTGGCCGAAGCTAGTCTGGGCGGATATGTTTGTTATTTGCTAGGGAACCGGACCACAGGCGAGGTGGCTGCTTTCTTAGAGTTAGCAGCGGAATGTGATCGCGAGAATTCTTTCTTATTGTGCACTCACTCCAAGCATTGGCTGTGCATTTGTCTGATTCTGGCATATCCGCGCCGGAAAAGTGATATATCGGAGGCTTTTCCGCTCCGATACCCACTTACAAAAGTCTTAGTTGGTCAGCCTGGGTTGAGGAAGAGGTATAGCACAGACTGGTTGGAAAGAAGATAATATTGACAGGCATTAGTGAAATGACAGAATGAGGCGCTGATTTAATTACTTTCCGTAAGATGTATGTGAGCTGCGTTCGAAGGTGTTTCTGGTGTTTTTGGCGTTTTCCAGTGAAGCCGCAGCAAAGCTTGATTCATGTGGCAGTGTGAACATCAGGTTTCAGACAGTAAAGGTCGAAGAAGTTCAGTATCTATTTTATGCGAGGAATTTTATCAATGGGTCCATCAAGCACAAATCTTGCATTTCAAACAAGCGTTGTGATACCTGATTATAACGTGCGGAAAAGCACCCGAATCCGCCCCTCGCCACGGTCGGATCTATCAACCCTTACCATCATTGCAAATACGGGCTTCCCCATATTTTGGATTTCCTACGACCCCCACACATGAAGCATTATCCCCAGAATAAACTCTGAGATGCCTCCTATAATCCCGGGGTTTCCTCCTTGTAACGAGCCCAATTTGCCTCATCACCACAGCACCTGCAATGGAGCCTTCTGTCTCTTTTGACTCTCTCCCTCTGCAGAAGGACGGTCCCCACGGAAATGCCTGGGGCCTTTTTGGTCCAACGGACCAGCTAGGTATGCTGAATCGCCTCAGACCCGAGACAACGAGGGAAGCAGCAAAAGAAATCATCGATGGGGTGCGCGTATCCACCGACTGGTCACTGAACAGTATGCAAAAACCGTGTTTTGGCCGTCCAAAACTCGACCACGTCGTGAAGAACAAAGCCCCGCGTGCTGTCAACGATGACAGCCTTGCTTTCAATACACAAATTAGCTCTCAGTGGGACGGATTCCGGCACTATGGGTACCAAAATGAGAAGATTTATTTAAACGGGTGTACTCTGGAGGAGACTAAAACTGGGGATAGAAATGGGATTCATGGTTTGTTTCATATCCTTGTCCGACAACTGCATGCGGTGCTGATCCTCTCAGTGTGGGTTGAAAATGGGGGGATTGTAGGACGCGGCGTTCTCCTCGATTACTCCTCCTGGGCGGAAGCACAGGGGATATCAATCAACTGCTTCGCTACCACATCCATCCCTGTCTCTACTCTAAAGGACGTCGCCGCTTATCAAGGAACATCATTCAAAAGAGGAGACATCCTATTTATCCGCACAGGCTGGACCCGTGCCTATGAAAAGCTGTCCGCAGAACAGTGCCAAGAGCTCGCCGATCACAAGATCCCACCGGCTATTGGTGTCAAATCATGCGAAGACACTCTGCGCTGGATCTGGGATGAAGGCTTCGCAGCTGTTGCGGGGGACATGCCCAGTTTCGAAGCATGGCCGTGTCAGAATACTGATTTCTGATTGCATGAGTGGCTGCTCGCGGGCTGGGGCCTCCCCATTGGAGAGTTGTTTGATCTGGATCGATTAAGCCAAGAGTGTCGGAAGAGGAACCGATGGAGCTTTTTCTTCAGTAGTGTTCCGCTGAAGGTACGGAATTATTATATTATTCGGGATTCGATGCTAACTAGTCTAGGTGCCTGGTGGAGTTGCTAGTCCACCTAATGGTGTTGCCATCCTCTGATTAGCCCCTCACTACGTCGAAGAAGTGATTCCTGTAAATATGATATCATAACGAATCACAATATCTAATAATGGATACCACTTATTCATTGGTAGGAGGAACAAACAGCCAGCGTGGCTTTGGACATATTGCAGAATTGACGAACAGCGAATATCCAACATTTAATTCCTGACAAGTTGCGGCTGCATCAACATATTCCAGACGACTTCTAGTGCCTAGGGACACTAGCTGTGGGGTTCAGGGCAATTGCAATCACCGTGGCCCAACACATATTCACCATAGTCTTGGTTACATACTTCGCACTACATTAAATCAGAGAGCTTTATCAACAGGCACCGATTCCATTTATTCCTCTCCTGCGGATTTGAAATAAGAGTATTCACTTCGCATTGACTAATAGTATGATGTGATTTCCAGCTCCTATACAACATTCGACACAATCAGTCGATTCAAAGACAAACAAAATATGCTAACGCCCTCCCTTGCAGCACTGCTGCATCCGGACCTCGCCGGATAACTCCAAAATCCCAAACGCCGTTATTTGCTATTCTTCTTCTTCTGCTGCTCCAAAATGTCAATGTAGACGTGGCCCAGAGGTCCAGCCTCTGGGCTCCATCCCCCATGTTCGACACGATACTTGTTATTACTGTCCAGCATCTCGACGATGTTCACGCGATTGCCCTGGCGATTATCCCAGTGCAATTCGCAGATCTTCTCCTCGTCGTGGAAGAGGTCCAGCCGGCCCTCACTGCCGCGGCGACCGCGAGCACAGATCTCACCGATGCCGTACGAGGGGATGGTGATTTCATCAATCTCGTCCTCGGTGAGGGACTGTCTGCGGTTATTGGGGTCGTGGAATTCACCACTATCCAATGAGATTATCAGTTAGTATACCAGACAAGGACACAGTTGAGGTGATTTAATTAAACAGTGAAAGAGACGACGTACCCTTCGATGACGGTGTGACGGACGGAGATCTCGCCCTTGTCCAGGTGGTCCCGGATGTGGAAGGAGACCCATTGGTCGTCCATGGGGCCGGCTGCAGGCATCTTGAATGAAGCAGGGCAAAAGGTGAGTAAAAAGGGTAAGTAGATCTATGTATGCTGTGATGCTTTGTGGATGATTGGGGGGGGAGAGAAGAGCGAGTCGAGCAGCTACCGAAGGGGCTATTTATTGCTTGAGGCCCGGCTGTGGGGTGATTGAAGAACGGGTATTGGCAAGGGCTGATCAGTTTTCCATTTGTTGGATGAATGAACGGAGAGGAGACCAGAGACAGAGGGCAGAGCAGAGAAAGAGGATCAGATGACGGCAGGGTGGGTTGATGTGGTTGGCCCGATGGTGGGCTGATCCACGGATGGAGAGCTGCAGATGCTGGGATTGTGGAGGTGGGCCGGCAAGTGACGGGCTGCTGCTCACTGCCTTCTTCTGCGAGTCTATTGTGGTGTTACTTGGTGGCGTCATGGCCCGTGGTATCTTTGTCACTGGCACCGATGGCATCACCACTTTTCTTGTGCAGCAGCTGCTGCTGCTTAGGTTTGCTTCGCCTGTTACCCCCGGCTTGTCTTCCCCGCACCACTGGGCCAATAATCACCAGTTGCGGTTCCAGGGATCGGCAGAGCTGTCGATGCCGGTCCATCCTCTTAATTGGATGTCATCTCGCCTTTTTCCCTTGGTGGAAAGACACCTGGTCTGGAAAATTGGCCAAAGAGACCTGGCCAGAAAGTGTTTCAAGTTGGCGAGTCTTCAATCGACTACAAAGTTGTTTCTCCGCCCCTCGTAATAATGGGACCAACCAGCTCGGTTTCATCTATTGGCCTGGGTCTCCAAAGTACCTGGCTTCTGAACCACTGGTATCTTCTTATTACTTTTTTAGGATGTGATGCCTGCAGCTCTCCCTTGGACATGCAGGAGTCGTGGCGGGTGCTGATAGGAGGGCAAGACTCAACGTCGAGGGCTAGATTCTGCTTCATTATAACTCACAAATAACAGGCTGCGTTGATCGGAAGGAGTTGTGCATGATGTAGACAACGGCGCCTCTCTTTGCACGTCGCCAGGATATGTATACCTTTCACTTGCATGCCCTTAGAAGTCAATGCATAGCAAAGTAGTAGTGGAGAGTGGACTCGTAGGTTGCCTGCCATCCGAGACAAGCACACCAATGCAAGCAGGAATTGACCGAAAGCTAGGGATGCACCTACACATAACTTACTTACCAGACCATCACCGGATCGGGGCATGATCATCTACGACACTCCATGCACTTGCAGTCTTCTAGCAGCAAATGTCTGTCTCAGCCGATCGGATGAAGATCCGCCCGACCCAACGTGACCACTTGCCTGCCTTTGTCCGGCCACTGATGATCCTTCCCCCTCATTCAGAGTAGTACTAAGTAAGTAGAAACCATGTTAGGGATCGGAAGACTCATTTAACCAGATGAAGGGTAGATCGTCAAGGTCAAGTCCCCGCGCAACAGATACGACGTCCGGCCGTCTACAGCGCGAATGAGCAGCATACTGCTCGGGACGGTCGCGCAGGCCAACGACTCATGCAGGCGACGTCAGCTGGTAACATTGCAAATTTACGAGAGAGAGACCGACGATAAACTGCTATTTGGAACAGTGTGAACTTCTAGATGCCAATCTGCCCACCCGATGCAGTAGATGAAGGGCTCTCGAAACAGCGTCGAAAAGAGGTCACGTGCCCACATGCTCTCCTACAGAATGGGAGTATCATCCTAGGCATCAGCCAGAGAAGGATAGTAACCTACCCCCTCTTGCTTGTCCGAATTGGTCAGGAACATTCGGGACTGGAAAGCCAATTCTGCGTGGATGGCACGGCTGCTCCCATGTCACGCGGGAGCGGCTTGTTGCGGTCCAGATGCAAGGCAGAGGCGGGGATGGCTACTAATTAGTTTCATCTGCCCCATTGCTCGATACTCACTGGTTCTGGATGCATGGGTCGCATCGGATGAAGGGGGTGACACTGGCAATATGCTCACCCCGCTCGAGAAGGTAGAACTGCATCAGATTCCGGTCAGTCTCTGCAACAATCAGCGAATCAAAAGCCCTTCAATTACGGACAACCTTCGTATCTTGCATAACCAAACGAAGTACAACTGAAGCGAACGATCGAGTGGACACATCACTTGTGTATCGTGGAAGGAGTTACGGTTTACAAAGCCCGGAAGGGCAAGTCGAGGGTGGAAGTGTAATGATGCGCATCGCCTGTCAAGGGGCTTCGAGGATATTATACATGCGTGCAAGTAAGAGAAGCCATTGCATCGGACTTCTTGCTCTATATTAAAGCGAATAATTCTTCTAATCGCCGCTTTGCGATCACCTAATACAAGGACCGCAGGCGCCCCTTGTTAGGGGAGGATGCCGTGACCAATCGAAATCTGAGCCTTTCAGGCTTCATAGTTATAGCAGAGGTATCCTCCAACGGGGTTCATCACGTCGGCTACCGTGATATTCGGCAGTATATCGAATGTGGTCATGGTATAATTGAGGGTTGTCTGCGGCCAGCCTGATGCGGGCTCGACATTGGCCGATTCATTGATGGCAGGGCCACCCATGTCCCACAGACGCTTGGCGGGATCATGCATCTGCCACCGGTACCACAGACGGTCGATGTAGCCATGGTGCAGATAGAAGAGCGGGTCACCCGGCGAGGTCTTTACATCCTCCATCTAGTGTTTTACGTTCGCGTCAGTTCATTGGAGACGACCCCCTTCACGTCAGGACAAGCGGGCACTCACCACTCCACCAACCGCCCAGTGACCTCCTCGGTGAGGCGTGGCTGCAATGCAAGCGAAGTATTCGTCGTAGCTGTCGAATGTATTGCAGTGAGCGACTGCCGCACCAGTAGTATTCAATATCGCCTCGTAATTTCCCCAGCTGCGGTTCATGCAGAACACCGTGTTTTGTTCCTGGGGACCAATATGTTCCGTGTAGTAGGCGAAGGCCCCATCGGTCACACATCCATCAGGTTCCGTCCCATTGCCACCAAACGCATCTGCATCCCACATCTCCGACCGGAACAAATTCCCGGAATCCGTGTCGTATGCCTCGTTCCACCATCTCCAATCTAGTCAGCTTCCTTCCTTCTTGTGCCAATGAGAGGGGGGGGTGGGGGCAAAACCTACGCCATTGGGCCGGTATAGCCACACTGCTCCTTCAGCAATGTTTCATATACATGCAGGAAGTATCGGTGCCAGGGCAGGAATTGACCCTATTCTGTCAAATTCGGCTCTGCCACTGTGTATCGCGAACGAACTCACCACACTATGGATAATGTCACCCACCGGGGTGTCGGTAAGGGCACGATGCAAAGCCTGCAGATCGCTGAAGCGGTTCGTGGTGGCCTCTAGCCCCGTTTGCGCAGGAAGATCCATCAAACAATTGACTCCCTTGAGATAGCTTATTTGTTCAACCTTGGTCATATTCCGCCACTCCTTTCGAATGCTCATCTTCTCTGGCGTACATCCGCCTGAGAACAACCCTGGATCAAGGCTGGTCACAGCATCAGAAGCTGGTGTTTCGCTGGTAGAGGCCAGCCCGATGGCGGCCAAAAGCCAAAAGGCGGAAAGCATTATGTTTAACGTATCGGGTAGGATTCTAGCCCGCCGGCCGTCGATATAATAAACAACAGATAGAAAGGAGATGCGACGACTTCTCTGTCAACGACGATCCACTCGGCTTCCGCCCCAAAACGAAATCGGCGAGGAGGAGACGCGGCAGCTTATGTCTGTCCCATCGCAGATAGTTCGATCGGTCTTCATTCTTTAGCTCATGCTGATTTCGGCCACCTCTCCTTACCGACATCCCGAAATAACTGGATAACCCACTGTTCAGACAGCCATGTCCAGCTTCCAAGATTGCGATAAAGATATTCCAAGCGTCTACCAACCGATTGACCAGAAGGTCCGCGCCTCGGCCTTGGTGGAGCTGTGCTGGTTTGGCGACATGTCTGGTTTTCCTGTTTGGTATGCGATGTGCATTCCAGTGACAGATCGCCCAGCCACGGCGGGCATGTAAACTCAATTGTTCTCGCTTTGCGAAATTAGTTCGGCTACTACTGTCGCACCTGGGGGTGGATACAAGCAAGCTTTCGCCTATACGGAGCCGTCGGCGAACTACGCTAACGCGCCCTCTGGCAGTCAACAACATCCAATTCCCACTCGATAAGCTTTGAGTCTTCATTCCCGCGCCGTCGCAAAATATGTGGCTGAACATTCCGCCCTGCATCCCTGCCATCTCTCATTTGCGAAGGCCGGTTGTCAACACTAGCGAACCCATGCAAGCCAGTGTCGTCGACAGCGAAATGGGCACATCAAAAAAAGGCATCCATCCCAAGGTCTCTTCTCCAAACCATCATTTGACTCTCAATTCGCCGTGTTCTGGCTCTCCTTCATTATATCTTCATCTCGCTACTTTTCCAAAGAACAGGAGCGAGCTGCCGGTGATTGATAGTGCAGTCTGCGTCGAGCTCACAACCCCTGGTACAAAGGGAATGCACTCCGGTCATCCAACTACGTGAGGGCGGCATGCCATGCGGTTATGTCTTGGATGGGATTCTGCCAGTCTTGCCAATGGAAAACACATCCGACTATGCAAAGAGATAGTCAGACTTCAGACTAAGGCGCAGCGAGATCACAACGTGATGCAGCTCCTCACGCCGCATGCCTTTACAACAACATCCGTAGTACAGACGAGTCAGAGTCAAGGGTCTTTGAACACTGCCCGTCGACAAGTGTGGTCTAGGGCAAGCATTCTATGAGCGAGCCCCCAGCCAGAGTCTTCCAACGTGGAGCATGTCGACATGCATATTGCCCATCATGGCTGGGCTGGTGGCTTCAATTTGTGAGTGAACCTAGCCAAGGGTCAGAACGAGGCCTGTTTCGGCCAAAGTTTAAGGCGCTTATAAGCAACGCACTGAGATGTATGCCCAGCTGGGTACAGCACACACGCATCGCCTACTGCGCTTGAATACTCCAGCCACACCTATGCTTAACCCTTCTAGGCGTACGAGGAGCGACCAGTGCATAGGGCTCACCCGGTCTATGTATCGCAATTCCTTGGATAACATCCAATTTTGAGCCGTTCAAACTTCCAGTGTCACTGCAATGGCATGTCATCAAATCACCACTGGTGATTGTAAGCTCATCTGGCTCTGTGGAGTGGGAGGTCCGAACATAGTGAAAGCTTCCAGAGTCTGACGCCAAATGCCCGTGTCCCAGTCGTTGTGCATCAGAGTTTCAAGATATACAGCATGTTCTGGCTGCATGGGTAATTGACTGGGTGTCCAGTGGGGCTGTGAGTCGAAAATGATCGAAGGGGGCGGGCCCTGCCATGAGACAGGGGGTCGAGGGGGACCATAAGCCTCGCTCGGATGTTGCACCACATGACTGATACTACACTGGCGCTGCGCCTCACTTTTGCTTTTCTCAAGCCATGCCACCATGCTTATCACACGGCAGTTCGACCAGATATCATCCCCAAGAGAGAGAGAAGCAATCTTCCGCATTGTGGCCAGAACATCCTCGTGGACGCGCCGACTGTCTATCTCTGGTGTGGGATGGTTGTAGTTTCCAAATAGCAGGCTTACCTTGGCAAGAACCAGCATCACATACCAAAGAGTATAATATGAGGAAGCCGGCAGGTGCACCGCCACGTCCGCTGGCACCTGGAGGTACGTGGCAAGAACCCGGTGAGCGGATGCCGTAAGATGCTGCAGCCGATTAATCTCCCGAAGTCGAAAGACATCTCTGCGGCGCTGCACTGCTTGACCCAAGGTCAAGGTGGTGAGTGCGGTGAGCTCCAGACGAAGGGCCCCTTGTAATCAGATGGTTAGTTTTCCCGAGATATGGGCATGTTTCTGGAGGTGCCAGCAACTCACAATTGTCACACGAGGCGAGGCGTGATAGCTGGTCCTCGGTCTGTCTCTCTTGCCGCTCGATGGATTCTACAATCTGCTCCCATGACGCATCTCGAGGGTGGTAGGAGCAGAGGCATACGTCCTCATCGAAGACACACTGCGTACGTCGCAAGAAATTGTTGGAGAGGATATAGTCCCCCAGGAGGACATCGCTGGGGTATTCGGGTTTCCGAGCAAGATCCTCCACACACTGGGCAATCCATCTGGTGTGTCTCATCGTCACCTGTCGGCGAAATAAAGTCGAGCTTCGGGGTGATTGTTAGTCGGAATGCCCAGCGTTGAAGAAAATAACTGAAGTCACAGGCAACACTCACGTGCAACACAGGTGGTAGCAGCCTAGCAGAGCCCTCTGCTCCGTGGGATTCGAATGATGGCGTTGGTTGTCCGCGGGCTCTGGAGGGATAGGCTGCATCCGGATGTTCTCGTCCTTGTCGATGCCCAAATCGACGACCACCATGTGAGCCATTTCAAGTAGCATGTACTTATGGATATGCGGGGTCCGCCAGTGATAATGAAACCATGCGCAATGAACGAGGAGCCCCAAGAGGAGATCGAGATTGCGCTCGCCCTTAGCGACTAGACGAGTGGCCGCCGTTTCGCGAACGAGAGCCTCCAGTTTGTGTTGCAGGAGGGGTTTGTGTTCCATACACACGGTGACGATGCACAGCAGGAGGAAAGGCGAGCGCTGGCGGAGGACCTCGATCTCCATGTCGGAGGACACCATGACGAAGGGGAACTGGGCCATTTTCTGGGTCCGGAACTTGTCCATAAGCTCATCAGCCTCGCGTAGGGTGACCAACCCGCCGAGAACGGGATCCCCCGATGCCTCATCGCTCGGTCGAGAGCTTTCCCGGCGGTGGTAGAGTCGCGGCGAGTCTGGTGGCTGCGTGGACGGAGTTGCACTGGAGAGACTGCCGTGGTGGGACGATTCACCTTGCTAGGTACGGTTAGAGCACGCCTTGTTGGGAACCACAGTAGCAAGATGATGGGAGGGGGATAGAAATTGCATACCTTCTGGCCCAGTTGCGCTGCCAGATTATCAATTTGCTCCTGAAGGGCATCAATGCGGGTCTTCCTGTGGTGGCGGAGGAAAGATCAATCAGCCAATGGTTGGTAGCCGGGAATATATGCAGTAGTAAGTAGTGAGTAGTAAGTAGTATGTGATAGTGATGATAAGGCTGGGGTTGTAGATCATGCTGGATGCAGGCTAATCGGGCAGTTTGTGCAATCAACATGAAAAAGAAAAAAAAAAGATGAATAAATAAATAAAGAAATAAATAAATAAATTAATTGATAAACGAAAGGAAAAGAAAAGAATAAAGGAAACAAAAAAAAAAAGCAAAAAATGTAGAATGAAAGGCGAAAACATAGAGCGGCCAAATGCACACTAACCACTACCATTATACACTTCTTTACTAAGTAGTACTCACCTGGGACGGGTGACATGAGGGGACTCAGGCAGCGAACATGGCTGGCCCAAACGGGTGCAGCGGACGCACGTGCCCGTGGGGGGAACAGGCACGCAGCGGACTTTCAATCGGACACATCGGACGCACGCATGGCGTCGCGGTGGCTGCTTGCGATTCATTTGCTCCCGCAGCAAATTGTGGGTTCGTCACCGTCAGAGCCAGGCACGATGCAAAGCACGTTGGGGAAAAGGGAGGGAGGGGTTGGACGTGGCAAGAATGGGGGGAGGAGAAAGTGGGAAGATGCAGGGGGGAGAGAATTGTGGTTGTCTGGCTTGCTCGCGTCGAGTAGTAAGTTACTTAGTACCAATTAGTGCTGACGGGATTATTCCTAAAGGAAAACAAGAAAGAGGAAAGAGGGAAAGTCACATGAGACGGGCCCGCGCTTCCCTTTCCTCTCTACTGCTTTACTTCCCCTTCTTCTTCTCCCCATCTCTATACATTCAAATCATTCTCTCTGTCTCTCCCCCATTGCCATTGTTCTGGGTATATTCTGTCACCTTCTTATTTCCAACTGCATCTCACCCCCTTACCGATTCCACGACATTAGTACCTCTTTGCGTTACAGGATCCCCGCCAAGGGCCACCAATCCAGAGGCTGCTCTAAGCGGGAGGCTGCACTAGAACCTCCCCCTAGAGATGCGGCATCGGTGCGACCGAGTCAGAGTCGGAGCAGGAATCGGTCACACTGACTATTTGAGCACTAGACGGACGACGGTCCAGCTCGTCTGGCCAACGACAATTCCTGATCAACTTCGCTCACACACTCCCTTTATCAATCTCTGCTTTTTTAGGGACGAATCAACTTGTTCAACCAGCGATCGGCTTTTCTGGTCTAGCCGTCTGGAGAACCAGACGAACTGGTGGATCACCGATCGCTGTCACGCTCCACTCTTCCACTCCATGGATCCAGCTCTCGACATAGTAGACAATTGTTCGGGTCATGTGCTGTAGCTCTAATCTTATTTGACTTATCACACCAGCCATTTAGACCTTCTTATCTGACAACTCCTCACGTTACGGGCGCATACTGGTAGCACGATCAGCTGCTCAAGAGTCACGACGGGATACTGCAGTGTCCGGTCGGCTCTTATGCGTGAGGAGCGACGTGAAACATTTAAACATAGGTATGAACCTTACATTTGCATTGATGAGCCCAGTAACCATCCTTGGATTGTTGTTCCACCCATATGTCCCTTCGATTCAAGACCTTCACCACCTATCCATGGGTGTCATGAGCACAATCCCGGACTATCCCGTTGTGATAAGGTTCTTACCCCGTAGCAGAATGGACTGTTCATGGTTATACTTTGGAGAAACAGCTTATCCTGCCTGATTCTGTGGGTACACAAACTATACTCGTCCCTCCCTTGATCAGACTTGTTCTCGCACCTCCCCTAGATCCGCATTCCTCGGCAACATTTATTCGAGCATTAACCTTAGCCTATTGCATCACCAGAGCGGTTCTATATAATGTCCCGTACAGTTTCTTTTACGAGATACCCTCCAACACCTTGATTCGTCCCATCGTAGATTCTTGAGCGACCTTCAAGTCATTCAATCATTACCCACTGAGCCCTTACTCCGACAATATCTATACACAAGGCCAAATCGTACAGCATGAATGAATGGACGGTCAAGACGTACGAGGGAAAACAGAATCTCTTTTCTCTTCCCACAGCTTTCGGGACGACACTGGTCGCCTGGAAAACGGCCTGACACCCAGGTAACTTCCCAAGACAGCTCATTAATCATAGTACCATCATGTCTGGGGTGAACTTGGCCTGGATGACGTTCACTGATAGCGTGCAGCTAGAAGAGACTGTGATGGCCATGGCTGCTCTACCTGTGGAACACCAGGCAGTGCTCTGGGCGCTCGCTGATCGTATGACGCATCGTTTCGGTCTGTGCCCGACTTGTAGAGGCGCCGACGTAATCGCCAAACAGGCCAAACGCAGTATGTTTCATTCATTTCATTGCTAATCGGACGGCCTACCCTATCCACCTTACTGTAGACCATGAAGGTCAGCCAGTCTTGCTCGCACCCACTAGTAAACAGAAAGCCTCGAATGTCTCAAAATCTTCTCGTTTCAGCTATTACAAAATGGCACAGCTCACGATCGAAAGGCGAAAGCAATCTCCATACCGCAGACTTTGTCCGGGGCACGATGAAACACAGAAGGTTCTGCTAACGGAAACCTTTTCCCTCTGAACCGGGGACAATATGTCCAGTGATAACACTCTGAAGTCGGTCAGGGGTGGCGAGAGTCATGGGTATCCCGTCCGGTATGGGCTGCCAAAGGGCTAAAGGCTCCATCAATGTTTTTGACAGCCGCCCTACGTTGGCATCCTCATCATGCCATAGCGGGCATATGCCATCCGAACATTCCCCGGGTCAAAGTCCTGTGCTTACGACGCCCGCAGGTCTTCCAGACAGCAGCACTGTGGGCCAAGCCACAACAACGTCGGCGGGGAGAGAAGATGAAACAGTGGTGGCTTTACCACCGGGCATGTGGTCCGTTTGTCGCGAGATGCTACCGCAACACGACTGGTCTCCTGGCGGAGTGGAATCATGTCTGGGCTAGACCCAGTGGATCTGGGTCCCAGATCAAAAGGCCAGGCTTCGGTCGTCGCCGTTGATGCGGGGGGGAAAATTAAGCGCGCGATGAAAGCATCTAGGCAAGGCAAAGGAGGCTATCCACACCGGACATATGCTTATTCCGTCTCCCGTCACGTGCACGTGTCCCGGTCGTGAGTCGATTCCAAACACGGTTTAGCTTGTCTCGTAACCTGTGCTTTCGCTCAACATGGCACCCGCAGCATTCAGGAACGTCGTGGACGCATCTGTGAGATTCGCTGAACTATCTATACACGTCACCGGCCACTCGAAGATCTATTCCAGAATGCAAGCATCATCCGCTCTACCCTGCATGAGGTCGAATCGGAGGAACTATAACATCAGATGCAGTAGCATTGGAAACCATGGTATAATGCAGGCACGCTGCGGATAGCTTCGCGTTCACGTGGCATCACGGGTCAAGAGCATAGAAGCATTCCTCGTCTTTCTTGTCCGGTGTGTGTGAGTGAGGATTTTACCAATCATCACATATTATGCAGCAGCTGGTCAGAGGAAGCCTCAGTAGAATCCTTCTTGTGCGCAATCACCAGATTCGGCCGACCGGCCAGCCGTTCAAAGCTGTCCTTGAAATGATATGCGATGGTCACCAGCCTTGGTACCTAGATAGTATCAACACCCCAGTCCGTGTTATTCTCCATATCCTGCATCTCAAATCTTTCGGGGGTGTTGTGTGACGACCAGCTGGCATAACGGTTCTCAGGGGGTTATAAGACGAAGGGTGAACGAGGAGGGTCGAGGTGTCGTTCTTGTATCGATGACCTAAATTCTCATAAGGATCGGACCGTCGAGGAAGAGTAACTGTCAGTGGTCACTGGCATTAATCTCAGGAGGTATAGAGTTCCAGCGTCCTTCACTTAGTATGGACTGTATGCCCTTCATATGGGGATGTAGTCTGTGAGATGATTGCACATCTTGACTGTTGAGCCAATGTTTGCCTGGAAGGCTGAATGCATAGGAGCTTGAATGCGTCGAAGAAAGGAAAATGTGTATGAAAGCTTTTCTCCGTGAAGATGTTGCGGCTTAATGTTTCCGCCCGTGCGGGTATCTGGAGTGGCGCGGATCGGCGAGAAGATCTACACAATAGGACCTCATCCACTCGACGTGATTGATCATGCTCCCGCTGGCAAAGAACATCTGCTTGTAGGACACGATTCAGACAAACGGAAGAACTCTTGAACAAAGCATGATCGTCTGTTTCCACGGTTTACACGGGATGATCTCCCGCTCTGAGACGCGATCTGCACCTGTCCCGAGTGATCTGCCGTGTCGGTTATAGGATGTTGTCGGCAAGCCATCGTCTGATATGAGGCAGATTTCTTCCATTTACAGTATCGAATGCAGGCAATATCTACATTATATCCAGGCAGGAGTATTAGTCTTACGATACTATTAGTGCTTTTGCTACGTATAAGTGATTTGGTGGTCTGCTGCATTCAATCAATTTTGATTGACATTCAGGATAGTTCGAGGTAGCCGCACCAATGTATATATCTTCTCGCCTCTGCTACTACCCATCATTCTACCACCAGTTTTCCTCCAAGCAAAGCCTTACCTGACTTTGATGAGAATATTGAAAAGTAAATAAAATAGCTCTTAATGATATGGTGTGGATATATATTTACATTAGACGCTACTGGTGTTTCTAAAAGTTGGAGAGTTGGGCATAGACTCTCTATGCCCTGCGAGATCATTGCTAGCGACGTAAGAAAGTGAACTACTGGTCAGCTAGAAAACAACAGACGTTCAATGCATAAACCCACTGTTAACATAGTTTACTCAATCTCGGTACTACTATGTGATCACGTGCACTTATGAGTTTATCCAACGTAGGACGGCACATTATGACCCGACAAACCAAAGCTTCTTGGTGGGAGCTATCATGAGAAGGATCTATGGCGTAATGAGTTGTCCCATAGCAAGAAGTGTCATAAAAGGCATTTTCCCTATGTTTTAGGTACACTAACTGAATGGAAGAACGCCTATCTTGGAAACCCATACATAACGACCTGCGACGAGTTTCTAAGGCTAGAATGCAACTACTTCTCCTATAGGTAATGTCGAAGATATCCATACAATGGAACCGTCTTCTAAGAGAACCTCCGAAATTGTGTCTGTCTTCGATGCAAGTTGTGAGATCCAGAGAAACTCGTGTGCTCAACGGTAACAGGAAGGTCAGCCGAGGAACAAGTTGCACTTGGAAAATAAGACAGATTGCACCATATCAAATGTCATATTCCCAACAGCAGTCTCAAGGCAGCAAGCCCCCAGGGGGTTGAGGTGCTAACATAGAACAATCTAAGACAGCAGGAGAGAGATAATTGTGCAAGGATACGATGAACTCCTGAAAAAGAAGGAGGCAGATAAGAAAATGTTGGGAATGAATCATGACCCATCAGATGGAGCATGGAGATATTACCTCAATGCGATCCCATGATTCATTCGGTCTCGGGATAATCACGCAAGACGATGTCCACGTCTATTGGAAGGCGGAGGATGTTAGTGGAGGAGACATTATTTAACCAGGCTGGTGGATATTAAACTGAACTAGGAATAAGCATGATTATATGATAGATTAAGGAGGTAAAATTCCGGGTGTGACCGTCGGATCCGGGAGTTGAGGCAGAGAGACAATCCCGTTGTGGACTTGCCATGCCGAATGTTTTGTTGTTCCTGTTTGTTGGCCGGCGACTCGGCCCGGTCAGCAGAGGAGATTCATCATCGGTGATTTCTCAGCAACAAGTCAATATCGACATTATCGTGAATTGGAATTAATCAATCATTAATCAAATAAGAATTAAAACCAAAATTAACCGGTTGTCGGACAAGAGCCGGTGGGATATCCGAGCAAACCGAGCAAAAGCAACAAAAAAGTCACGGGCGGGGAAATGTCTGATTGGGGGAAAAAAGATAAAAGGGAAAGTTGGATGCGGGAAAAGCAATGATCTGCCGTCTTGGCAGCCTTGACGCCCCATGTCCCGCTCGGCGGACCAATCACCACCGCGCCTGCCCTGAATGCCGCGTGTTAGTGCAAGGGCTTAGGGCTACTCGGAGGAGCCCGTCGCAGCAGTGGAGGGGATACCAAGGTGGGAAACAACAAGAGAGGACCGTAGAACATCGCGATCATCCCGAACATAGCTACACTGAGCATAGCACCATCACACCGGCCGGTTCAGAGGTCGAACACCCACTCGACACTCTACCGTTTCTGCAACGTCCGGGCGAACGGGTCCCCATGTGTCTCTCAGACCGCGTCCGTATCAGGTTTGACCTCCTCCAAAGTCGCGACGAAACAATATACGAGGCTGAAAGAGACAACCCGCTGGTCAGTAGATTGTCGGTTGAGCCGCGTCATACTGTCCCGGTCAAGTCCCAAAGGAGAGGTCCGTCCCCTGTCACTCCCCCGCCACGATGAACTAGTAGTCTAATTCCTACAAAGTGTATCAGGGGACTCAGCCATGGGAACAAAGCTCGATGCAATCGGACTTAATTAGTCTCCACATCGAGCTGGGCGTGAAACTGATGGACAGACACTCCGCTATCTACTCGAAACCGTATCTAATTAAGCACTCGCGGCTCCACTTCTTCTCTGGGCTTCCTCCGTGCCGCTCGGACAGCTCACTGGACGCTCCCAGTGGGGTCGTTTCACAGTATCCCCTCAACGCTGACGATCGCATTCCCAACTCATCCACCAGCTCTCTCGAGCAGACCAGGGCAGTGAGGTGATCGGCGGTGGCCTCACAACATTGCCGTCGCCGGGACCCAGATGTTTATTCTCCTTCCCTGTCGACCCAATGGCCCACACCACATCCACCGCCATAACGCCGATATTGGTCGAGATTGCGTTGGAGTCGCAGAGGGAGTCTCCGGCATACCCACTGGCTCCGGAAACCTCCATCAGGAGAAGTGTTCCAAACTTCCATGAGCCATGGCATCGAAGGACCAACAGCGTTCTATATAAAGGACAAGCCCGTCGACCGTCTCAGATCCTTTCCTCTCTGGCTCAACACACACAGCTTTGTCATTCTTTCTCTTGTTCTCTCTTTTGTTCCTAATTGTACTTACTCTTTGTCACTCTTTATACTTGCAAAACTTCCAGGATGAAGTACGCTGCTGCTCTTACGGCTGTTGCCGCCCTCGCTGCCCGCGCCGCTGCTGTCGGTGTCTCTGGCACTCCCGAGGGTTTCGCTTCCTCCGCCACTGGTGGTGGTAATGCCACTGCCGTCTACCCTACCACCACCGATGAGCTGGTCTCTTACCTCGGTGACGACGAGGCCCGTGTCATTGTCCTGTCCAAGACGTGAGTCTCGAATCCAAAGCAGAGAACGAATCGATACCCGGCTGACCAGTGTACGCATTTGCTAGTTTCGACTTCACTGACACCGAGGGTACCACCACCACCACCGGCTGTGCTCCCTGGGGTACTGCCTCCGGCTGCCAGCTGGCCATCAACAAGGATGACTGGTGCACCAACTACGAGCCCGATGCTCCCACCACCAATGTTACCTAGTAAGTTGCTCTCTGAAGTCTATTCGACTATGAGGGAAGAGAAAATGTTAACAGAGGGATAGCAACACTGCTGGTGAACTCGGTATCACCGTCAACTCCAACAAGTCCCTGATCGGTGAGGGTACCAGCGGTGTCATCAAGGGCCGTGGTCTCCGCATGGTCAGCGGTGTCTCCAACATCATCATCCAGTACGCATCGTCCAGGACTTTTATCCACTTGTCGCATCGCAAACTAACCATGGGATCCCCACAGAAACATTGCGGTCACCGACATCAACCCCGAGTACGTCTGGGGTGGTGACGCCATCACTCTCGACGACGCTGACTTGGTCTGGATTGACCACGTTACCGTATGTCTTATCCCTTCCAGAACTTCCTCTTGCAAACTAACGAATGCTTCAGACTGCCCGCATCGGTCGCCAGCACTACGTCCTCGGTACCGAGGCCGACAACCGTGTCTCCATCACCAACAACTACATCGACGGCGAGTCTGAGTACTCTGCTACTTGCGACGGCCACCACTACTGGAACGTGTACCTCGACGGCGCTAGCGACAAGGTCACCTTCAAGGGCAACTACCTGTACAAGACCTCCGGCCGTGCCCCCAAGGTCCAGGACAACACCTACCTCCACATCCTCAACAACTACTGGGAGAACAACTCGGGCCACGCTTTCGAGATCGGCTCCGGTGGCTACGTCCTCGCTGAGGGTAACTACTTCTCCAACGTCGACACCGTCCTCGAGACCGACACCTTCGAGGGTGCTCTCTTCTCCTCTGACAGCGCCTCCTCCACCTGCGAGTCCTACATTGGCCGCTCCTGCGTTGCCAACGTCAACGGCGGTGACCTCACCGGCACCTCCACCACCGTCCTCTCCAACCTCAGCAGCGACACCCTCCCCTCTGCTGATGCTGCCAGCACCAGCCCCGCCTCCAGCGCTGGTCAGGGTAACCTGTAAGCGGTCTCGCCCCGTCGGACTCTTACTGCCGCTTGCTTCGGTGATGTTGTCGAGTTTGATGATTCAGACTAGACGAGTTGTTCCTGCTGTTGTACAGCGGAAATGTGTGTTAGCTTAGATTCTATCTTAGCCTAATCAATAATTCTAAGATGGACTTGATCCATAGTAATGCTCCGTTTGATTGTGATTGAGTAGTTTTCGATGCAAGTATTTTGCCTTTAGCCTAGTATCATGGCTGCTCTTAGATCCTCTATGCCCAAGGCCATTAGCAAATCCTGCCTTAGGCCTCAACGTTGTCGAGAGGGACTACTGCTGCCTGAGGCCGAAGTATGTTTTTGCCCCAGGCAACAATGGGCATGACGAGACGTTCACATTGAGTACTCTGACGGAATGGTGGAAACAACAGTGAAACCGTATATGTAGTGGATTAATTCAATATCTTTCCTTATTTGCAGTACCTCGCTATACTTATTCGCCGTCTTTCTATTATAGAAGCACCGCTGTTCGGGGCGCTGATGTGTGGTGGAATTTATTGTACATGTGATAGACAACACAGTCTTCATATTACTCCCGTAAGGTTTATGAGATGACTCTTGTCAAAGCTGATGGCTAGATATAATGGTTTCCCAGCTCTCTTTCTGCTCGCTATCACTGTGCATCGAGCTAGCGGGGCCGTTTGGCGCTACAACCAGGCCATACAGCCTCGTGAGGGGTAAGTAGCTCATTAGCTTTGACGATGTTGGAAGTGCAAGGTACTCCTCTTGACCCATCTTATATCCTCACATGTTTAAGAATAAATGATATGGGCCTATGTCATTCCACCACATCATGAGTCCACCACCTCCCAACCTCACTCATGATGAGTATAACATCGCCTTCATCTGCCCAACGGGCATCGAGCTAGCCGCCGTCGAGGGAATGCTGGACGAACTCCACCCAGCCCTCCCTTCCACCATCGATAAGAACAGCTATACCTATGGCCGCATAGGCACACACAATATAGTAGTGGCGGTACTCCCAGAAACGTGCAACAATCAAGCCGCATCTGTCGCAACACAACTCAACAACGACTTCCGATCTCTCCGATTTAGTCTAATAATCGGAACTGGCGGCGGGATCCCAGACCTTGCCAACGATAGAGATACTCGCCTGGGCGATGTGGTGGTCAGCAAGCCGACTGAAACATTCGGAGGCGTAGTGCAACTTGATCGCGGCAAGTCTCATGCTCATGGTCGATTCGAGCGAACGGGGATCCAGCAGAGACCGCCGGATATTCTCCTGTCTGTGGTGCAAAGGTTGAACGCTCTGCATATGCGCGTCGACACTCGTATTCCTGTCTTCGTGGACGAAATGCTCGCGAGGTATCCGAAGATGATGAAGCGCAACTACGCCTATCAGGGACAGGAAAATGATCAGTTGTTCCACATGGACTGTGAACACGCCGGCGGCAAAGACTGTGGGCACTGCGATATGAACCAGGTCATTGGACGTGTGCCGAGGGATGACTCGATTCCAGTGATTCATTACGGAACGATTGGGTCGTCGAAAACTCTCCTCAGAGACAGTGTGAGAAGAGAGGTCCTGAAAGCCGACTTCGATATTCTATGCGTTGAGACCGAAGCAGCGACTCTGATGAACGAGATCCCTTGTCTGGTTGTCTGTGGCATCAGTGACTATGCAGATTCACACAGTAACACGAATTGGCGGCCATATGCTGCTGCTACGGCTGCTGGGTATGCAAAGGAGTTGCTATCTCTAATCCCTGCTTTGAAGAAGCCTTCGACTGATAATGTAGAAGTGGCATCGTTTGCACCGAGACAACAAGCTCCCGCGATTCGAACGTCTAACATGGGAAAATTGATCCATGGGCCGGTCGCTGGCGATTTCATAGCAGGGAGCAAGCTTTTTAGCGATGGGATCTATCATGATGGCAGAATAGGGCGGTGGGTATATAATTGATGATTGAAATTCTCAGTACGATGTCAGTGATCATAATGACATGTGTTGATGAGTACCTGATCAGGCGATGGAGGTGGATAGATCAACGAGTTGCGTGGGAGTGAAGTATCAGATACTCCACTTACACATTTGCACTAGTGTACGCATCAGATTGTAAGTTGTATTTCAATGCCAACAGGAAGAAGATTCGTTAGTGCACTATGATCGATCATGTATTATATCTCTTATAATATATTATGACATGCCTTGCATCCTCCTGAAAGTGCTACGCGTTCTTCATAGACAGGGCAACCCATTTACTTCACCCAAATCCATCCACACTGTGGACAGTCCAGCAACATCAACAGTGTCGCGATACCGACGCTGGAATCCCTACTATACCTATTGAGATTCTACACCGGGTTCCCCAAGGATCCTAAAGGTATGTAGTATTGTGCTGTTGAGAGAGGTACTGGGCAATGGCACCATAGATCATGACAATAGCAACAGATTGGGTAATATGGGAGAGCATGTTAAACAGGTATACCACGAAGAGCATAAGGTCGAAGACAGAGACTTAGTATTAAATCTGTTTATCATATCGCCATAATAGCCCATGATGTTATCCAACAGGGGGGCGACTTCACTGATGGCTTAACGATTTCTTATGCCTTCCCTACGTATGTTTACTCAATAAAGGCAAAGATAGCAGTATGCACATCATGTCGACCGCTGTTGCGGGCCCCATATATCCTTCTGTTTCAGGGATTCGAGGAGTTGGTCCACCCCCTGTTGGTTCTTGCTCGGGATGGAGGCATCCCCAGCCACCCTAGCGGGACCTGGGTCATTCAGAATCTCAACACGTCGCGTTGAGTTGCGAACAACTTCCAAAATCGTTCCTCCCCCAATATCCTTATCTTCCACGCATCTTAGCATGGCGGATGCGACTTCTTCGGGCGTTGCCCATCCGTCCTTCTCCTCGTCGATAAGCATCATTTTTTCCTGATTCTCGACCCACAATGGCGTACGTATAAGACCGGGGGCCACTGCATTGACGCGAACGCCGATTGCCTGCTCGAGGGGGGCCAAACACCGCACGAAGCCGGTAATGGCGGCCTTTGAAGCGCCATACATGGGACACACAACGTTCGGCAGTTGGCCTGCCACGGAGGAGATGTGAATAACGCGGCGGGGATTCTGCGGGGAGACGGGAGCTACGTTGGGGCTTGTGGGATGCAGCCAGTGCGACAAGGCCAGTTGGGTAGTTCGGATGGGATGCGTGACGTTGATGTCCAGTAGAGCGTATCGGTCGCTGTCCTCTTTGTCTTTGCTTATGGCGGAGCCGGGTGGCTGCCAAAAATTCGACCACGGGGGCTCGTAGACACCGGCACCAGGACAGAGGATATGAAATTCCTCAAACAAGGACAAGGTCAAGTCAAACATGCGTTTCAAGTCGGCCCAAGAGGTGACGTCTGTGCGAATAAAAACTGCTCGCGGGGAGGAGTCGGCGGCCTCATACTTAGCGATGAGTTGCTCTGCTTCCGGTCGCAGGGCGATGTCGGCTACCACGACATTGCAATTCCTGGATAGCAGGAGGGATGCGAATGATAGATTGATCCCTATCATCGTCAGAAGAGTGCTCCAGTATGAAGAAGAAGGGGAAACTAACCCGAGCCAGCGCCCGTGACAATGGCCGTCTTCCCTTCCACCGAGAAGCGCGCGATATCTTCCGTGGAGGCTGTCATTGTTGTGATTGAAGCAGTAACAGCGCAGAATCTCCCAAGTCTGCTTGCCTACCCCTCAGTTCCAGTCGAAGCCCGGGACTAAATAGCTGTTTTCCTCTGAGTGCCCATGGGAGCGGGGAGGGGTTGCCGTGGGTGATGCGAGACCAGTTGCCAGCGTGCGGGGAACGAGCAAATCATAACATGCTGGAGAAAATCGGGCTTGATCCGACCATCTCGGACCCGTTTCCGCGGATAATTCAAGTAGTTGAGTCGCTGTGAGCAAGTTGTGAGGAAGAAGCAGACAGGGACCCATTGGGTGGATCAGTTCAAGGAACCCTGGATGGGTGCGGCGGGCTGGCATGCAGGAATCCGACCGGTCGCGATCCACCGATCTGTCAGGCAGTGATCTCATGACAGCTGGGTGAGAAGCTTGATGGCTTTAGAATGTAAACGATCGGCCATTATGAGGTCTGGATCAGGGGAATGGCCTGAATTGAATGAGTGAATGTTTGGGATTGCATTGGAGAGACAAGAGGATGAAGAAGCAGTTGCAGTCTTGGCAAGGGGGCAGTGCTGTTGCTTTAAAAGAGACTCAGCCACACTCCCCAGTCATACTTTTTTCCAACCCCTTCATAAAGCGAGGGAGACATCCCCATCTTGAATCTGAAAGTGGATTTCCTTCATCTTTGACATATGAAATCATACTCAGAAAGACCCTGGGTGGGCCAATGCACGTCAATGTGATCATCTCATGTAGTAAGTAAGTAGCAAGTAAATACTCAATATGCTGATATGTGCCTGTGGAGATTCACGGATCCAGTCCCAAACTCCTTCCCAATGATCATCATTATCATCATGTACTCATTGACCAAGATAGCAGACCACGAAGAAGACAAAAAAGAATACTGTCATGAGACTCCCAACGCCTGACTGATCGCCCGTCTTTACTGGGTATGCCGCATGTGTATCCCCGTCGTGCGATCCGCCGCCAACACTCGATACACGCGCAGCAGGTCCTCCATTGACGCTTGCGTGTCTGGATGTGTTTTTCCTAGCACCTTCTCCCGGCCACGAACGGCTTGCTCCACGAGCGTCTCGGCGTCATCCCATCGGCCTTGGGACTGGTAGATGGCCCCCAAGTTGGCCATGGTCGTCAGCGTGTGGGGATGGAGTGCTCCGAGATTCTTCTGCATCAAACGCAGCGCCTGCGCGGTCAACGCTTCGGCGCTACTCGTCTTTCCTTGACCCTGATACGTCAAGGCGAGATCCGCCATGGCAGTCAAGGTTAATGGATTCTGCTCACCCAGGCGTGCCTTCATCACAGCCACCGCTCGTGCCCCAAGACTGGCGGCCTCGTCCATCCGTTCCTGGCCCCGGTAGGTGGACGCCAAGTTGATCATCGACATCAGAGTCTGCGGATGCTGCTCGCCTAGATTGATCTTGCTTATCTCTACGACCTGCGTCTCCAGATGTTCTGCCTCCTCCAACCGCCCCTGGTCCCGGTACATCGTTGCAAGGTTTGCCATGGATGTCAGCGTCAAGGGGTGCTGGGTCCCGAGCCGCTTGATACGGATGTCCATCACTTCCGACTCCAACTTCAACGCCTCCTCCAATTTACCCTGCTCGCGATACGTGGCTGCTAGGTTGGACTTCCACATCAAGGTCGACCCATGGTGCTCACCCATCGCACGTGTACATTGTTCCACCACCCTCTTCTCCAGTCGTTCCGCATCATCATATCGCCCCATGTGAGTGTACGTGTTGGCCAGATTTCCCATGGACGTGAGGGTGGACTGGTCATCCTGGCCGAATCGTCGGGTCTTGATCTGCAGCAGACGAACTTCCAGTGCCTCAGATTGTCGCCAATGCCCCTCCTTGCGATATGCGGTAGCCAAGTTGGACATGGAGGCCATCGTGTGGGGGTGGTCCTCTCCCAAGACTTTGCGGCGCGCCTCGGTGACCTGGCGACCCAGATCGATCGCTTCCGCCCAGCGGCCCTGACCACAATACCCGGAAACAAGGTTGTGGACGGCGGCCATGGTGATGGGGTCGTTGGGACCTAGCTGCGCCCGTCGGGCGTCGACCACAATCGTTCCGACATCTACGGCAGAGTTCCACTGACCCCGTTCAAGGAAGGCCAGGACTAGCGCCCCGAATCTATTCAGCGCGGTACCGGAGTCACCCCTATTCTCCCTGGTGACCTGCTCCACCACCGTCTCTAGCTCGGCAGCTGCATCAGCATGTCCTTGCTTCCGATACCGTTTCGACAGCGCCCTGAACGCCTTCAAATACGAAGGAACAAGCGAAACATCCATCGATGTACGGAGAGCGGACTTCCCGTAGATATCCAAAAACCTTGACAGAAGCTTCAATAACAATGCGTGGGGAAGCTGGGGACTAGTTCTTCGATCGCCGGGTGGACGGGTGTGGAAATGTTGCGAGGAGGAACTTAAAACTGACAGGCTGCGATTAGTTAATAATCCGAGGTGTGAGGAGATAACGGCCAACGATCGTGTTCAAAGAGGAGAGGGGAAGAGGAGAGCGGTATTGGCAGTCGCGAAGACGCTCGGACAACAGACGCGGATGGAGGAAGGGAAGCGCATCAAGAGCCGCTCACGGGAACTGACAGATAGGGAGAGATTTTGCAGACAAGTTCAGGGAGATGACAGGATGACGACGAGCGGACAAGCAGATGCAGGATGGAGAGTCTCAAGTCAGAGCATGACCAGATCCATTTGCTGCCGCCAAGCCGCTAGGGTGTTGGAAAGGCTGGAGGATCCAATCCTCTTTCTCCGAGTCAGTTCTTTCGTGCGTGTCGGGGGAGGAGGGTGTTGTTGCGTGCCCATCACTTGCCCCGAGGTTTCCGGTTATCAGTCAGGCTCATTCCTTGATTGGTGGGCTTCTAAAGGGGCCCCGTTGGAAGCAGTGGACTGGCAATCAAAATCAGTGGAGATTGCACCAGTTGGACGCGATGGATGGGAACTGGGAAGGGCTTCTTTTCCCTTTTCAGCCCTGTCAGGCCAGAAATAGAAAAGTCACGGAAAATGACAGCCGCGATTACCATACCGTCTCGAACACCCCCCATACCGTCTCATACGGTATTGTTCCCGTCGGTTCAGCTTCAGGTTCTGTCTCTGATGTTGATCCGAATTCTACTCATCTCAGCCTCTCCCCTTCTCTCCTCTCTCTGTGTCTCCTGTCCCTTTCTCTCTCTTTCCCTCTTCCTCTTCCGTTCCACTGCCCACCGCTCTCACGGGGCCTCGCCATCTCTTCCCTGCTCTGCGACATCCTCACCCCCCTTAACCCACGTCATCTTCTCCGTCACCGTCGGACTGGAGCCATGATCGTCGGGGTTTAAAATTGGTCAACTCTCGTCGACGGAAGCCCGCCTGCCACTTTGCGCCGTCAGCTGTCACCCTCTTTGCTCTTCTTCGTTCCTGGTGGTCTCACCCCTCCCTCTTCGTCCCACCTGTCACCATGTCTCGGCCAGAGTTCAATGATTCCCCCTTGCCGAAAGACTCCCACCAGTACGATCCGGTCATGCAATCGGAGCCCGAGCCGGACTCGCCCGTCGTTTCCTCCTCCCCCATCCGCCATCGTACCCTCCGGCAGAGAATCTCTGCCGCCGTCGCCAAGTCTGGTTCCAAACCGTTGCTATGCTTTCTGCCTCTAGGCCTTGTGGCGGACGCGCTACACTGGAACCCTGTCCTGGTCTCCATCTACAACTTCCTCGCCGTCATTCCCCTCTCCGTCATAGTTTCTGATTGCTCCGATGAGCTGTCCGACTCGCTAGGCCAGCTCATGGGGGGCTTGATCAATGCGACCTTTGGTAACTGTGTCGAGCTGTCGGTGAGTCTCAAAACCTCTGCTGGACGCTAGCGATGGGATCTAATCTCAGGACTGTAACTTTCCTAGACCGGCATCTTGGCCCTTATTCGTGGCGAAATATACTTTGCGCAATCTGTCATGATTGGAAGCATTTTGTCCGATCTCCTTCTCATCCTTGGTTGCTGTCTCGTTGCCGCCTCATACAACACCTTCATCCTCCATTTCAACAAACCTGTCACCGGCGCGCTCGCCTCATTGATGGTGGTCACCTCGGTTGGACTGATTCTGCCTTCAGTCTTGTATTCCACTTTCCCATTCGACCTTGGGGACCAGATCGTAGCGTTTTCACGTGGCACATCTGCCGTTCTATTGGCGCTCTATGGTGGGTATCTCTATTTTCAGCTGGGTACCCATAGCCACCTCTTCCTCCAAGGGGAGACCGAGAGCAACTCGTCGCGGGAGTCACAGCGCAGCATTAACTGGCTCACGACAACCCTGATTCTATCTTCGTTAGCCATAGTTGTTTGCACGAAGAACATCATGGACAGCATTCCCGCAACTGCTGCAAACCTAAATCTCTCGAAGACATTCATTGCGACTATTCTCATTCCCATAATTAGCAACAGCTGTGAAGGGGCAGTGGTCATTACTGCCTGTGGTGGTGGTGGCGATGTCAACTTCGCCATCAGTATGATCGTGAGCAGTATCCTACAGATTGGATTGTTTGCCATTCCCTTCCTAGTCATGCTGGGTTGGTTCATAGGTACACCGATGACGCTATATTTCGAAACTTTCCACACCGTGGTTCTATTCTTCTCCGTGCTGCTGGTGAACTGCATTCTGCAGGATGGGAAGTACACCTATATTCACGGGAGTATGTTGGTCGCTATGTACGGTACTCCGGTAAAAGGTTGTGTTGTTCTACATATACTAACAGTGATGACAGGTATGCGATTTTGACGCTTGCTTTCTACGTTCGGTAGACGACTGCCTTAACATCATAATCTTATCATCTAAGTAGTTGGGATTGCTGATTTATCTTGGAGCACGGACTTTCGGACACATTGGCCAGCGTTATATATATACACATATACATATATCATGTTGATAATGCATAGGACTCAATATCATGTGCTTACGACCGCGACGTCCTTAATCGTGCTCACGCTGGGACACACATAGAAGGCGACTCCCGTGATGATGTACCTATGGTTTCGTTAAAAATGGTGTAAAATTGATGGTTGTACAACTAGGGTATACTCACGTTCCACACAGCATGAGGCCGTCAAAGTAGTTGGCCCGGCCTTCGTGAATCACGTGGCTCATGACCATGGCGGCGAGGAACAGCATGGTCGCCTCGAAATTGTCCATTTGCAGAGTCACCGATTGGCCCAGGGACCAGCCCATGAGGACCAGAGTTGGTGTGACCAACAGGGTGAGGCGTAGAATGCTGTTCAAGATGTTTCGGACGGCGACCTCCACATGGCCCTGGCGCGAGATGACCACAATGGTCAGATATTTGGGCACGTTCCCCACCAGCGGCACCCAGACCAAAATGGGGAAGCTGGTGCCAATTCCCCGCTCTAACGCAGCATTGACACTGTTCACAATGTGTACAACACACCCGGTCAAGCAGGCCACTGCGATGAGAAGAGCAACACCAGCCGATTGCGGTGTGAACATGACCGGTTCGTGGTCCATTGGCATTCTATTATCGTCTGCGCGGTTTTCGCTGCTGGCATCGCTCAAGTGCGACTCGGCCGCCCCCTGGGCAATGCGAAATAAGGCCGCATGGGACTTGAGTTGGAAAAGAAGGAAGACACCGAATAGACCCAGCAGGATGAGGGCGATCCCATACGAAACCATTTGTACCTCATGACTAGTCACCACGGCATTGATGGAGAGGGTATCCAACGAGGGAAATGTGACCATCACGCCGGGAAGCACCAAGGAGATGCATACCATCATCATCAACGATGACATGATGCTAGTCAAGTTGCGATCGAAGTGTAGATGTTCCTTGTCATAACCAGAGATCAAGAAACAGCTACCAAGCACCTGCGTCAATCATTAACTAACTTGATCCAACTTGCCAAACATAGACGGCTTAATCGCCTACCAGCAGAGAATAGCACAGGATACTGCCAACCACCACTGAGTGGAAAATACGGCCTTGACCCATTTGCGCTGACACAAGGCCAACCATCAGTTCAACCGAGTTACCTAGGGTAGATTTCAGGATCTCGTGTAGAAACGGTCCAAGGGTATGGGACAGCTCGGTGATAGCAATCGTGATGATGGCCATCAGCGGAACCAAGGCGACCAGGTTCAACCAGAATACCAGCTGCCTTGGCCATCCCAATAGGCCGGAGAGAAGTCCTAGGAGGACAAAGCCAGCAAGTGCTTTCAATTCGGGGTGACTACCGATCCTCATAATGGCCAGGTGGAAGGGACTGGTGCGCCCGTGAAGAGGCGCGGTCGGCGAAGATGCGCGCTCAGAGGGAGGCGGCGTAGGAGGATCTGATTCTGCCGATATGCCAGAGGGGCCCTCCATGGTTGAAGAATAGTGGTGGCGGTGCCTCACCGCAGGCATTTCAAAAGAGAGAAAGATGTTCCTCACGGGTTGAGATAGATCAATAGGCTTTTGCTTCTTCTGAGGAAGAGGCGGCGCTTCAGAGGCTCTTTTTGGTTCAGCTGATCGGATGGATCTGAAAGTTAGTAGCTTAACCAGTCTAACCAGCTTACGGGACCTGGCTGTATCCGCGGTAAGGAGTTACGGTACCGTGCTCCCCGAGCCCGAACCAAGCGCTTTCCTGGGCAAGCGGCCCCCTCAGCCTTACAGGGCTGGGTGGCATTTTCCCATTGGCTGCCACCCCCACCTCCCCGTCTGGCCGAGGGGGTTTGGCGCCTAGGCACCTCCATTCTGGCCCAATGGACGCTGGGGACTTCCGTCTGGCCCCACCCACCTGCCCGCCCAGTGCGCTCTTTTTGTGTAAACAACCGTATCGGTTACACCTGACACTGTTCGAACCGTACCTGACGGTATTCGCCAAACGGCCCCGCGCGCCTTAACAACTTCGGAGAGACTCTGGAAGGAGATAAGTCCGAGCCAACCTACCTTCTGAGAGATCCTCAGCTTCTTGATGGAACTTTCCTGGTTCACCATTTCATGATGACCCCCTTCAAGAATGCCCAGGAATCGGGCACACCTTCTCTCCTCGCAAGCGTCCGGCATACGGTCGAGGTGACTTTTCTTTCCAGCTACACCAATGTGCTATTAATCTTTGTATTCCTGGGAATACTCTCCGGCTCCCAAGAATGGAACCCCTCCGCCGTGTTTATCCTGAATTTTCTGGCCATCTTCCCGCTGGCCTCGTTGTTGTCCTTTGCGACCGAGGAATTGGCTAAAAGCGTCGGCCAGACGGTAGGAGGCCTGATCAATGCGTCTTTTGGCAATGCCATCGAAATGATCGTAAGACAATTCCCCCGTCCATCGCAAGTGGTACAGGCTAAATATAGTATTCAGGTTGGAATCACGGCTGTGAGCCAGGGTGAGATCCATATGGTGCAGTCATCGATGGTTGGCTCGATCCTGTCTGGCACGCTGCTGGTATGCGACGCATTACTCCTATGCTCCTACTAGAAGTTCTGACCGTCATCGCCTAGGTTCTGGGATGCTGCTTCTTTGCCAGCGGCTATGATAAGGAGACAGTCCACTTCAATGTCGATGTGACGGGGATCATGTCGTCCTTGATGATTGTATCCTCCTCCGCGCTCATCATCCCATCAACCTTGTATTCCACGTCTCTGTATGCCTCTCCCGGTGGAAACGAGTATATCCTCCACCTGTCACATATTACCGCTGCCTTGCTATTGCTCTTCTATTTTGTCTATCTATACTTCCAGCTCAGCAGCCACTCTCATCTCTTCACTAGCACCGAAGACGACGAAGAGGAGGAGGAGCGCCAGCTGGGACCCATGGCAGCTAGCATCATTCTTATTGCCGCTACGCTGGGAGTGACAGTCTGTTCTGACTACCTCGTAGAAGGGGTCGACGGCTTTGTTGAAGCCTACGGGGTAAGCCGGGCCTTCTTGGGCCTAATCGTCGTGCCGATTGTGGGCAACGCTGGCGAGTTTGCAACCACTGTGAAAGCAGCCAAGGAAGGAAAGGTGGATCTGGCCATTGGTGTTATTGTTGGCAGCACGCTTCAAATCGCACTTTTCGTCACGCCATTCTTGGTACTGTATGGATGGGCTTTGGGTCAACCGATGTCGTTGCGCTTCAACTCGTTCGAGACTGCCTGTTTCTCGCTGGCGGTGGTGGTGATGAATTGTCTGATTCGTGAGGGTCGGTCGAATTACTTTGCGGGTGTCTTGTTGTGTGGAACGTGAGCTTCCCTGTCCCTCTCTTTCCAAAGCAGCCCTTTTTTCTAATCTAAGTCTAGTTATCTGATCATTGCGATCGCTTTTTATGTCCACCCAGATATTGTCGTTCCTGGGGAGTAAGTACCCTGACATCAGGTATGGTATTCGGTAGCCCGTCTACACAGGGATATGACTTGTCAGGGGACGATCCATCAATATTTTGCTATAGAGTTTTTATACCAATACACCGTCTCAATTCGATCATTATGTTCGACACGTTGGATACTTCTAATGCCTAGACGACGGAATTCCGACGGGCAAAAGATGCTGCCGAGTAAATTAGGCAAAAATTACAGGTCGGCCAAGCGGGGAGGCCGAAGATTACCGGCGGGGGTTACGCGGCTGCCTTTTGGCCCGTATCATCAATACCGACCAATACGAGGGATTTGGGAGATGTCTCTGCTCCGCCCCAAACAAGAAAATCAAGCAGCATTACTAGTTTAGTTGGAGGGATCTCACTCTCTCCATCTCCTAACTCCTTGGTCTCCCCTGATTTCATCTCATTCATCCTCACTTTGCCCAGAGAAGGCGATTTAACTCCACATTCCTGACTATCTTGAATCTAGCACTTGCCTTTATCGCGTAATCTCTTCATTTCCCGCCGGTCGGACCCGTTCGCGATGACAGTAACGACCATCTGCTTGGTCTAATTCAAACGCCCAACACCTACGGTAGCATGAACTCCCTGTCACGGTCATGAAGGAGGCAGGTAAATCCATGATCACAAATCCCATGTCCACTAGTGACCCACCCCAGCCCCTAGCCAGCTATAACTATAGAGCCAATCGGTGACTAACATGATCGCAGAACCTGAGCGAGAAGCCTGTCATCGCCCATGGACCACTGGTTCGGGGCGAGCCCAGCGCATTCGAGTTTTCGGCTGAGCAGTTGAGCGGACTCATCGAATCACGAAGTCTGGATACATTCTACGCCTTTGGTGGCCTCCGCGGAATAGAAAGGGGCCTGCGAAGCGATCGAAATACCGGATTAAGCGTGGACGAGTCGAGCGTCAGGAACCATGAACCATCGGCCACAGCCTCGTCCGTCGCCAAACCTTCCAACCAGCCCCATCATCGCCATCTTCACCTCCACAATCACCATGGCACTGAACCATTCGCAGACCGACGCGCTGTCTTCGGCAACAACCGCCTCCCCATTCCCAAGTCACCCACGGTCCTGCAGTTGATATGGGCGGCATACAATGACCACGTCCTCTTCCTCCTGACAGGAGCGGCAATTATTTCGCTTGCCCTGGGCCTATATCAAACATTCGGAACTAAGCATTCGAACTCAAACCCGCCTGTCGAATGGGTAGAAGGGGTAGCCATCATCGTTGCCATCATAGTCATCGTGCTGGTAGGCGCAGGCAATGATTTCCAGAAAGAGCTGCAATTTCAAAAGTTGAACAAGAAGAAACAAGATCGCCTTGTGAGGGTAATCCGCTCCGGCCGGCCACAGGAGGTACCTATCAACGATCTGGTGGTCGGGGATGTCGTACACATGGAGCCAGGAGATGTCATACCGGCCGATGGAATCCTGATTCGCGGCCACCACATTCGATGCGATGAATCAGCTGCGACCGGTGAGTCAGACTTGCTGTTGAAGCAGTCCGGTGACGAGGTTGCAGATGCGATCGCCGATTGTCGTGATACTAAATACCTTGACCCGTTCGTGATCTCGGGGTCCAAGGTCGCAGAAGGCCTTGGCTCGTTCTTGGTAATAGCAACCGGCAACCATTCGACTTATGGCAAGATCCTCCTTAGTCTGGAAGAAGACCCTGG